AAAAGAAAAGAAAAATAATAACGAAAAACGTAACAAAAATGGGACAAACATATTTTTGTACTATGCGTAGACAACATCTTGATCACTGGAAACAATGTGAAAATGTTGACAGATGCAAGGGTATAGTTATCCAAGTAGTTGGACATGAAAGATATGTTGCAATTATCCTGAATTTCATGTCCAAACTATTGTAAGGCTCATTTTATTTTTGCGTGATATAGAGACAGTCCTTATGCACGGCAATTGAAAGCCTAGTATATGCAATAAATGAGGCATGATATTTATTACTGATAGTTTGGTTGGTAAATATTGAAGTATCCTTCCCAACTTCTGTCCGCGACCCAGCAGACGTGAAGCCCGTTCCTCTCGCGCGCAGTCTAGGTGAGGAGAAAGTCCAGCAGCGATGCGCACGGCCCAACACCACCAACCCAATCCGCAAAGCAGCCCGTCAGGAGCAGCAATAACATGCAAGCTGTAAAGCCCGTGCGGCCTGCAAAAAAGCTCGATCCTTCTCTCAATTGAAAAAGCCTGTGTGGCCCGCGTGTTGGCCCACATTTCAGCTCGCGTGGCCCAACCCCAGCCGCGCAACAAGTGCATGTGGGCTTAGGTGTTGCGCGGCCCAGCTAGCAAGGACGGCCCAGTTGATGCCCAGCTACGTCCAGATGCATCCAGCTCACTCCAGGTGGCCTAGATCGAGACCAGCAAGCCCAGACCCCGTCCAGTGAAGGAGTTCAAGAACAAAGGTAATTTTATAAATTACATATCAAATCAAAATTAGTAAAAGTTACTAGATTTTAAATGATGCTTATTTGTTATCTCGTTATACTTATGTACGGAATAAGTATTTATGAGATAAATACTTATAAAATTTTAAATTCCGCTGCAAACTCTGTTCCGTACAGTATATCGAACCCAACAAGTGCGCCATGAGGATGTCGAGAGCTTAAGCTTCTTTATACTGCTCATGTCTCAGGCTCAGTCTCGCTCATTTGGAAACGGAATTTGGTTTTATTTTCTCTAGTGTAATGGCGATGAACAAGTCTACGAAATTGCTTAGCAAAATAATTTTCTCCCCCTCTACAATTCCCCAACTGAAGGCTCAAATAAAAGCCTACCTCCCTGATTTTATATTTTTATCTGAAGTTAACAAAAAACTAGCTTTTGTCAAAACAGTTTGTAAAAATCTTAGAGTTGAGGATAGGTGGTCTTTTGTGGAACCTGAGGGTTTAAAAGGGGGTCTTCTTCTATGTTGGTCTCCAAAAATTTATGTATTGAATATTGTTAATCGAACGGAAAGATCACCTATCGGTTCCTTATAAGACTAAACTATTCGTTCACAGTCTAGACTGGCAGTGAGACCCCACTTGGAAAAAGACTGTAGTGTATTCCCGATTCAGTTGGTCTTTGACTGAAGGATTACACTAGCACTTATGTTAAGTGTTGAACAGGACCACGGAAGGATAAGTGTATTTTTCAGGAAGATAGAGCAAGATTATACAAGGTGTCTGACTTGCTGTTACCAGGGAACAAGGGTTGGAATGAAGAATTGGTTAGGAAAACATTCTCACCTACAGAGGCAGAGAACATTCTGAAAATTAAAATCAGCCACTGGGGTGCAAGAGATAGATTGGTGCTCCAAATGGAGACTCCTGTTATTTCTCATGTCACAAAAGTTCTTCCATCTATAAAAACCATTTGTGTTCTTGGAGGATCTAAACTTGTATCTTCTTCTCAAAATATCAATATTGTATCCCAACTAATGCGAGAATTGGGAAAACAAAAGATCAATTTACTGTATGGAGGAACTAGCCTCACTTTCTTTGATAATCTGCTCTTGGCTAGAAAATGCGTCGGATAGTTCTGTTCATGTGG